AATCCTCCCACCTCGGCCTCCCAGAGTGCCAGGATCATAGGCGTGAGCCATCATGCCTGGCCATATTTTATGGAAGAATTTAACAAGGTTGGTCCTCTTCATTTCCTAAATGTCTGGAGACCACCAGTGAAGACATCTGTCCTGGGGTTTTGTTAGGAAGGTTTTACATTAGAGATTCAATTTTTAAATTGATATGAAAACTGTAAATATTGTTTTTCTATTTTGTCAGTTTTCTTAAATTGATTTCAGGGAATTTATCCAATTCACCTAAATTTTCAAATTATGGACATAAGAATGCTCATTATATTCTCTCATGACTTTTATAATCTGCAGGATATATAACAATGCTCATTTTATTCTTAATATTGAAAATATGCCCTTTTTTCCTGCTTTTTTTTTGCTAGGAGTATATCAATTGTATTAATCTTAAACAACTTAACTTTTGCTTTTTACAGTTTTCTCTATTGTACTTCTTTTTTAAAATTTCATTGAATTCTTCTCTCATCTTTGTATCCTTCTTTATCCCTGCCATTTAATTGGCTGGTCCATTTCTAACTTCCCAAGATAAGATCTTAGATCACTGACTTTAAGCTTTTTTACTTTATAATATAAATTTATACCCATAAATTTCCCTCAAAACACTGCTTTAGCTACATACTACAAATTTTGGTATGTCCTTTTTTTCTTCATCAAAATATTTTCTAATTTCCTTCATGATTTTTCTTTGATTCTTGGGTAGTTATTTTGTGTTTTGCTTATTCCCCAAGTATTTTGGGATGATTCTATTTCCATTTAGTTACTCACTTGTGGTTTAATTCTCAGCAAATACACATTGTACAGCTGCTACCAATGTTTTGAAAGTTAGCCTATGCTGGTGAATATTTCATATAAACTGAAAGAGAATTTCTATTATGAAGTTATTGGCTTTAGTGTTATATATATGTCAATTAGGTTCAGTTGGTTATGTTGTTAAAAATATTTTAAAATGCTTTCATACAACTGTATTAACTCCCCTAAAGAAAAAATAAAATAAAATAAAATAAAATGCTTTCTGTTTTGTCTGCTTGCTCTTTCTGCTATTAAGAGTGGTTTGAGTTAAATATCCCAACTCTGATTTTAGATTTGGCTTTTTTTCCTTTTAGCATTGACAACTTTTGCTTTATACATTTTGAAGCTTTATTATTAAGTGCATAAATATTACAATTTCCATGTCTTTCTGTTGCACTATAGAGACATATAAGATTTAAGGAGTTTTGCAGGGCTTTGCCCTGAAGGAATATGTGAAAGTGTTAGTTCACATATCAAAAGCCGTCTCCCCTCAGGAGGGCATGCGCTTTCAACGGCCACAGTGTTTCTCAGACCTGTCGCTTGACTGAGGCTTCTGTATGACAAAGCTTGGCCTGGGGCCACAGAGTGAGAACTGATCAAAGAGTGCCTGTCTGACAGACACCTGTGGCTAAAAGCACTTAGCCTAAGGAACAGTTAGTTCCTGCTTCACTCCTGACTACTTGTCTCAATCAACAAAAACTAGATAAAGAAATATAGAGCCACTATATTTCTGTTTAGCCTTTCCACTAAGTGACATTTTATCTTAGGACTTAGAAGTTTGTCTTAGATTTTGTAACCGTTTTCTCACATAGAGTTAATTAAGGGATCTCTAGAAGCTTTTTGGGAAACTTTTAACCTACAGGAACTACCTGTTATTATGTAACTCTGTTATCCCTGGCAACCAATCACTGTACCAATAAATACTGATTTGGGACTTCTCTCGTGGCCTCACAGCTCACGGGAATGCTGGAGGACCTCCTGACTCCCCCAACTTTATAAAACTAAACTTTATAAAAACTGTACTTTTGTCTCTGTGTCTTATTTCTATATTCTATTATTTTCCATTTCTGTTATTTCCTAATCCCTTGCGATGACACCTGCCAAAGGGACTCAATTTTTCCTGGGAGTGTAGCTAACTCCCCACATCTTTCTGTTCAATTGACTTCAACCACTATGAAAATATCTCTAGTACTATTAATATTTCTTACTGTATCCTTTTTGTATTAATTTAACTACACTTTTCTGTTTACATGTATACCCTTTTCCAAACTTGCAAACTTTCTGTATTTTAAAATGTCTACTCTCAAAAGCACATTCGTGGGTTTCCTTAATAATCTTTCATTTGAACTGTTTAGTACAGTTGCACTTAATATAATTACTGAATACTTTTGGCAAGACACACTTGGTTTGTCTAGGCAGCTCGTTGTAAATAAACCTTAGATATATGACCTATGGGACATGGTTCCAGAAAATGTTGTATTAGCTACATAATTTTTGGCATGTAATACAGACAATATTTGGTATAAAATGCAGACATGTCATGACCTAAATAGCTCCCTTTTTCATAAGTGATGTCCCATATACAATGTATGCATCCTATGTTAAATCTCAGTGAGCAAGGGCCTAATGCAGCAAGGAAGAACTTGGGAGTGGAACAGACAGACCTATGAAATTACCTGCACCCTTGATCAGTCAAACTTGATAATGGTTAAGATTTCTAACTCTATGAGTCTAATTTGATGATGTAATCTTTTGTATTATCTTGGTTCTCTAAGTGGTTTCCCTGCTTAATCCTTGGTTCCTTCAGTCTCAACCACAAAAGCGACAATAAGCCCTTTAGAATGCAAGCATGGTCATGTTACTTCTCTGATCAAATGACTTTCTGTTCAGAGTAAAGCCCAAATCCTACAATGGTTGCAGAGCCTTGCATGATCAGACCTCCCGGTTTCTTCCCTGTACTTGTCTCTTATCAGGCTCCCCTCTGTCACTCTGCTCTGTGCCCACCGCCCTCTTTGCTGGCCCTCCAACTTGCAGGCAGTTTTTTAGGACCACGGCTCTGCCTCTCCCCTCTGAAGACACACATAGTGGCTGCCTCTTCTCAAAATTTCAAGTCTTTACCTTCTCCAACTTTCCCTAAGTTGCCCAAATCCTCCAGCACTGTAAACCATGCATCCTCTTTACCCCGTTTTGTCCTTCACCATAGCCTTTGTTTCCTTCTCAGATAGCTATATAAAATTTATACATTTATTTATTATGAATCTCCTCAACATGAGAATATAAGATGCCTGAGAACAGAGGTATTTTAACTATTTTCCTAGGTGCAGCACTTTCAGCAGTAGACCTAGCAAGAGAGACAAATTGTGAAATACATGAATGGAATTTCCCCCTGGGTGTTGTTTTGCCTGAATTCAGTTCGTATATTATTCTCTCCCTCTTCCTAGAACAGGTCCCCCAGCCCCTTTCACACACCCCCATTGGCACCCAGGCCATGAACAACCTGCATGCATTTAAAATTATTCATGGTAGCCTTTGGGGGTTTTGTGTAGATTTTTTATTGCATTAGAATCAATGAACAATGCCTATTTTATGCAATCCACTGAGTTTTCTTTTATGGTCTAGTTCATGGTGGATCTTTTTAAATATTTCAACTGTATTTGAAATCAACATGGGTGCCCAGTTTGTTGGCTGCAGCATATACATCATCTAGTTGGCTAATTGGAAATCCAAATCTTCTTACTTTTTATCTGATAGTTCATGATTAGATTTATTAGTATACCAGTATTATGGTATCTGTCATTTAGCTTAGAATAGTTCACAGACACTTTAAGTCTGTCACAGATAGGAATCTTCTAGGTGTAGTGAGCATTCTAATCAGGAAAACCTTACTGCAGAGTGGGCTACCACAAGCCTTTCTGTTAATTTTCACTGATCATTAAGAAGGTTACCCAGAAAAATGAGCGCAATCATTGCTTGTTAGAATAACAGGTTAGAAGAGGTCCCTCACTGTTAATACCAGTGGTGTTCTAGACAAGAAAACTGGATCATTTAGACCACTCCCTACTGCTACACCAGGGGTCCTCAAACGTTTTAAACAGCGAGCCAGTTTACTGTCCCTCAGACCATTGGAGGGCCGTTAGAAAGTGCGGCACACATTCCACACACGTGCACTGTGGGCCCAGGACGAGTTGGCTGCAAAGCAGGACAGGTGGTGGTGGCAAAAACACCCGGTGGGCCACATGTGGCCCATAGGCCATAGTTTGAGGACCCCTGCCCTACACAAACAAGGTGCAAGGCCCTGGGGTGGTGCCTGAGGCTTAATCCTAAAATACCCCTGTCTAGCTACTGGGTCAGAAGATGGCTCATGGTGATAAAAGGAACAAAATTTTGCCCCTAGAATAGTCACAACCACCTTGAATAAAAAACTTTTCATGAAAAATGTGACTGGATTACCTAGAGACAGAGCTAGAACTTCATTAAGCTTACAAAATAGATTGTTAGAAGTGTTTTGAGCCTGATTACTAATCAATTATTGTTAATAAGGTTGTAGAAATTAGTTGATCAATAACCACCTAAATGTTAACTAATAGTATCTAGAGATAACATTGTGATAAATAAATCAAATGCCAGAATGTAATTTAAAAATATATTTCACATTTCTAGCATCATAAAAAGAAATCCCTTTGTATGAATTACTTTAAAATACTTTTTAGCAGAAATATAGTTTTGGTAATAAATAAACATTTGATAACTATATAAACATGTAACGAATATGCTCTACATGTTGAATTTAAACACATCAATATGAATATTCTTTATGGGTATAATTCACATAAAATGATAAATTATGTTTACATTATTTTAAAATATATTGGCAACATAGTTCACAAGAATTAATCAGTCAATTTTATTTTATTTTATTTTATTTTTTTTTGAGACAGAGTCTCGCTTTCTTGCCTAGGCTAGAGTGAGTGCCGTGGCATCAGCCTAGCTCACAGCAACCTCAAACTCCTGGGCTCAAGCAATCCTCCTGCCTCAGCCTTCCGAGTAGCTGGGACTACAGGCACGAGCCACCATGCCCGGCTGATTTTTATATTATATATATTAGTTGGCCAATTAATTTCTTTCTATTTTTATGGTAGAGACGGGGTCTCGCTCAGGCTGGTTTTGAACTCCTGACCTTGAGCAATCCGCCCGCCTCGGCCTCCCAGAGTGCTAGGATTACAGGCGTGAGCCACCGCGCCCGGCCAATCAGTCAATTTTAGAGCCGCTGCCTTGTATCAAAAGCCTTTGCATGTATAGGGAGAGCCCCTGTGAACTGGTAAGGGTCTCTCTGAAGCTCTCTGGGAAGTAACGGAGGCTTCAGGGGAGCCCACAAGCAACCCAGCAGTGTGGGGAGCATCAGGGGCGCAGGAAGGAAGCAGAGGGCTGACATGCAAAATCTAATCATAAATTGTCTTATATTGTTCAGCAATCCATTCCCCACACCCACCCCTCCAAGAAATGTTAAAATTTATTTTAAAAATGTAAAGTCTCAGGTTCAGTAAAATTGTCTTTTAGTATTTTCAGCCAAAAAAGCTTAATTCTCTTCAATTTCTGGTTTTATGACCAAATATCCTGAAGATACCGTTTTTCTTCTTTTAAAGTAGCCAATGTTTTCATTGCTTCTAGTTTTTCAACTCCAGCCTCTCTGCTTATTATTTCTACAAGGGCATCATTTACATCCTTGGCCATATTCTTAGCATCTCTAGAAAAGAAAATAATAGCATCATCACTTATGCAGTAGGAATTTTTAACCAAACCTTCCTCAATTGACAAATCTAATTCCTTTGACTCCACCATCTTAGTTCTTCCCTCCCTCTTCCCAGAACAGGTCTCCTAGTCTCATTTACACTCAGGCCCAGGCCTTCCCCACAGTGACCATTCTATTAATAAAAGGCAAAGCTGACCACACTATCAAAAGCCTCCACACACTTCCAGGTCCTGAGAGCTGGTTTGCTAAGAGTCTGAGGAGTGTCGAGGGTGCATGCGTCTGGCTCCTGCTGGCCTCTCTCATTCCCTGCCCTCCACTCTAAAGGCACGAAGTGGACTCATGCTCCTGAAGAACAAGCTCTCTCCCACTTCTAGGCCTATTCCAAACACAATGTTAGTAGCAAACACCTGCACTGAGGATTTATTATATGCTGGGTCCTTTTCTAAGTGCTTGTACATGTCCGACTCTTCAATTTATGAGATGGGAGAGGTGCCCCTCGCAGGTGCTTCTGCCATTCCCTACAGAAAGAACACTTCCTATAGACACTTGCAAGGTTGGAAGTCTCTGCTTCTGTGGCTTTCCCACTAGGGAGCAAGTTGTTGGAGGGCAGGGAGTGTATCCCATTTATCCCTGTAACTGGAACATCTGAACAGTGTCCAAGCACTGAGCAGGTACTTAAATGCTTGTTGCATAAAGGAATAAAGTGTCAGGCAGGATTCTCACGTTAGAAACTAAACCTGTCTTGGCCCCTCACAGTGAAATTTTTTGAGGTGTCTACAGTGGCTATCTGACCTTTCTCAACAGCTGTCCCCTTAGCCACTCCCAGGGAGCTTCTACCCCATGGCTCTTCCCCAGTGGCCACCACGCTGCCAAATTCCCTACTGCTGTCTTCTCACTTGACCCATCTGCAGCACAGGCCCACTCCCTGGGACACCTTCCGCCCTGGCTTTGGGACAAGTTTGCTCCTTCTTTAGTGCCTGTTTCCTCTCAGTCTCCTTTGTGCCTGCTTCGCTGTCACACTTGTCAATCCATGTTCAAGCGCCAGCGTTTCATTCTGAGTCCTCCTCTCTGACCACTGCTATTAAAGTTTTCAAGTCCATTTTACAGATGTGAAAAGTGAAGCACCAATGATTGGGAAAAGCTATTTCTGGGATAATGTTTTAAGAGACTGGATGTTTAAGATATTCTCCAAGTTCTCAACTATTGGTTAGTTGTATATCTGTACAATTAACTCTGCCTCTTCTATTTAGAGGTATTTCGAAAATCTCAGCCTATATCTGGACACTAATGTCACTGTCCTCTATGAACAAGATGAAGATCATAATTCATTAAAAGCTAAATGAAAATGTACACTAACATAATTTCTAGAATTTCTGCCCTTTATCAATCTAAAGCTGTGGTCCCCAACGCCTGGTCCTAGTCCTTAGCCTGTTAGGAGACAGGCCACAGAGCTCTGCCTGCTCCCTACCCAGTCCACAGAAAAACTGTCTTCCACTAAACTTAGGGGGGGGGGGGCACACAGCAGCAGGAGGTGAGCTGTGGAGGAAGAGAAGCTTCATCTGTATTTACAGCCACTCCCCATTGCTTGCATCACTGCCTGAACTCCAGCTCCACCTACTCCACCACTTGGAAAAATTGTCTTCCATGAAATCGGTCCCTGGTGCCAAAAAGGTTAGGGACCACTGACAGAGCAGTGTTTTTCAACTAAGACTCAAGCTCTACTAATAGATCATGAAATCAACTGAGTAGCCAAAGCCAGCATTTTTTAAAAAATCAAGCAATAAAACAAAACAGATGAAAAATGATTAGAATGCACCATAAAAAAGTAAGTCAAAAATATAAGTTTTGTTTCATGAAATTTATTTCCATTATATTTATGTGTTTCGAGTCACTATTTATGTGCATTTAATGCCAGTATTTTGTCTTCTGCATCACAGAAAGAAAAAAAAAGAACCTAAGTTAGTGACTTAGAGAATGTGTTAAATGCTAGGGATATGTTAGGATGAGAATAAACTTCTTACTTCAAAACATTTTAATTAACAAAATTTTTTTCAGTTCCATTAAAACAAATAAGTTTTAAAAAGTTTAATTTTCTATGGCAATTGTGAGTTTCTGTAAAAGATCTTGTCTCAGAAAGTATTAACAGATCAAACTTAGTAACATAAGAATGTTCCTGGGTTTATGTCAACTTTAACACGACAAGATTGTGTCTAGAAGAAAAAAAATCCAAGTATTCACATTCTCAGAGTTAAAACCATATTTTTTTCCCTTAGCTAGTTCAATAGCACAAATCACCGAGTTTTACAAACAAAATCAATTCTGAGATTTCAAGTTAAAAAATTAACATTATAATATAAATGTAATTTTTATAGACTAAAAACAGGTATTTAAAATGGTGCAAAGCACTCCTGATGCAAGAAATCACTACTTCACTGATAAAGACACTTCTTGGCTATTAAATATAAATAGAAATTGTATATTTATTCCTGTACTTAAGAATCAAATATGTCTCATTGCTATATATTAGATTACTGGCCTCCTAGTCCTTTGTTTCTTTTATAAACATCAACTGCATTCTCCCATCCAGCACATAAGCATGAAGACCACTTACCCACACACGTAAATATAACCATTCTCATGAAGAAGGATTCTTGCCACCTGCTTGCCATGGAGCTGGATGTTGTCTTGCACATACTTGGCTGGGGTTTCCTCCTGCCCCACAGGAGCATCTCTTGAGAAGCAAACCTTCAGGTGAGTTAAAATGCCTTGCTTAAGGAAATGTCTGAGCTCTTCTCTGAAATATAGTACATAATGGATTACTGGAAGGTTGTGATTTAAAGTTTAAAAAGTCTGAGCCTTAGAATTGGATACTCAGTGGTTGAGTATTACAATACTAGAACTATATAGTACCTGAATAGATAATCTCTATCCTTATGTCTGCAGCCAAAAAACAACCACATTGCTCCAAAATTTCCATCTGGGTGTTGTTCTTGGAGTTTCTCTCTAAGTGATAAAGAAAGTTTAGATGTATGACATAAAGAATAAGAATGCATAAATCCAATCTTTTTCACCAGGAAATAACACCAACAGATAAGTTTATAAAATCCATCTTTGCAGTCACTGAAAGAAAACGCAATTAACATTTTATTATCCATAGGCTGTCATGGCCACTCTAGCAGACATCACCTAAGCAAACATGTTTGGAAGTTATAGCCATCCATGAGCTCTATACGACATAGACCTAACAAAGATGATTCAAAATATCATACTGTGAAGCCTAGACAAATTTCTAGATGAAATAATATTAATAACAATTTTATGAATAAATCAACTCTTTATAATGGAGAAGTGGTAGAGGGCTATAAAAGGCAGAAAGTGTAAGAAAGGTTTATGAAATGATGAACACACCAATGAGACACAGAGCATGTCATTACACTTTTGCTTAATAAAAAAACTAAAACAAAACAAAAGTGACTGTCCAAAGGATGTGACTGGAGAACAGTACCTAAGACTTGTTCACTAAGTCACAGACATGAACAGAAGTATAGTTCTGTTCTGATACTAAGTTATACCTATTAATGTCATTCCGTTGAAAATTTCTAATGTTTGGGGTTTAACTTTGAAGCTTCTGGTATAATTAGACCTCTGTTACTACCAATTTTATCCAGAAGAGATAGAACAGCTATACATCATCATGGCATGAAAGTGCACCTGAAATTTGTTGTCCCCAACCATGTATACTATAAACCACAGCATAGCTGGGGGAAAAAAAAAGAAAACTAAAAGTGCCACAGTAAAAAAGGAAGTTCTAACCCAAAGCAAAATCTCTATAATATACTGTGTTTGCTTTTCCTATGGTGACAAATTATGTTATGCTATTACATGTTTAATATTTTAAATAACATTAAATTTAACATTTAATGTTAAATTTAAATTTAACATTTAAATTTAACATTTAAATTTTAAATTTAACATTAAACATTAATAACATTTTTTAAAATAAGAATTTTACAACCAAAGTCCAAATATCCCCAAAACTACTAAATAAACAAAAAGGCTAACATTAAGAGGTATGCTTCCCCACTAGCCAAAAAAAAGCACGTACCTATGCTGTAGGAAACCAATAAAGGGTGCTATGCCAGTTCCTGGACCCACCATTATGATGGGAGCTGAGAGGTCATTTGGTAAGTGGAAAGAATTTGTTGTCCGAGGAGAAATGGATATCTGGAATATTAAACCAATCATGGCAAGTATGAAAGAAAACATAGGCAAAAGTGTATAAACAAGATGATCTTTACTAAAGAATTTGCTAAAGAAAGTGCAAATTCCCATCAAAGAAGCATCATTAAATTGAACAGTAGCATTAAAACCTATTGAAAACATTTGTCACTACAGAGAAATAAGTTTGCCTTACAATTTTTTTCTTTTCTATCCAAATCATAAATGCTTTTAAAATGACAGGCATGGTATTAGTATTTTTGAGGGAGAATACCAAATAAATGATAATCAAATCATTTCTAGGCTCACAGATAAGATCTACTTTCTAGTAGACAACCAGTAATATATATTACACAGAAATATACCCCAAAATGAAGACATGATTCTTCATGTTTGCACATAATGGGCCAATGAAAATTAATATCAAGATGGGGTTGAGAAGAGTTTTAAATGAAAATTAGGTGCCATAAAAAGATATTAAAGAAAGCAAACTTGTCCTAAGATAACACTACAAATGACACACTGATTTCTTCATTACCACGATGACAAGAGACTTTATGATAAATGAGATTTTGCTCAGTGCTGTAACATAAAGGACGTCACTAAGTCTACATGTAAATGTGTCCACAATTTATTTAAAAAAAAAAAATCACATAACCTTTTTCTCTTAGGTGCTTTAAAAGTGACTTCACTTCCCACCATTTCTTCTCACTAACTGCAAGAATTCAGATCTCTCAGGCACCACAGCTATGACAAAAGGGGAGATACAGGGAGGACCGAGGAATTCTACTACTCAAAATTGGAGAATACAAAATTAATCTTTGGTTGTCATCAGAATGACACCTATGTAAAACTGCCTACTTGGGATGCAGGTATGATACAGTCTAAACATAAGACGAAGCTGTCTCTCATCACCACCCTTCAATACTTGCCAGACTCTTCACCTCTCCCTAGGCCAATCTACCAAGAGTATCAACAGAAAGGATCTTTTCTATGAATAGAACAAGCAAGGAGAAAAGACTGCATTGTACAAAATTCATGTTTTGCACATTCAGAAAATATATGGATTAGTTAAGAGTAAGTGAAAGTAAATAAAATTTTTTGCCCTTCCAATAGAAATTTTAAAATTCAAGTATGGCATAAATTATCTTTTGAATAATTTGATAGTAATGGACAATGTGGGGGAGACTTCATTATTCTTCCTAATCAAGCAAAGAGAGCAATTTAACGATGCTGAAATTACATTCTACTTTAGTACCTTCGGAGACAAGGCTTTTTCGCTGTCTTCACATGACACATGTGTGTTTGGCTGAAGAAATGAGTCAACCAAGGTGGCTAGCCAGCCTGTGCACACTCCCTTCCGCAAAACCACTGTTGTGGTGTTGGACAAAAACTCCACAGTGTTAAAAACAAAATGAAGCTTCCCTGGGTGAAATAAACTTGAGCTGCAAAGACATAGAAGGTTAAGTTTTGAACTCTGTATTAGGACTAATACATACGGGCCATTCATTTTTATTGCAGTGAGAGAATATTTCCTTAGAGGCTCTAATCTACCTTCCAACCCCTTAGAAAGAAAAAGCCATAGTAGTTACTTAAAAATTACCCCCAACTCCTACACTTCTCCACCCCACGTTTTGTGATATCAGGAAAGTCTCCAATTTTATTTGCTTGCCCTAAGACCAGATAATATTTATCAAAACTGACATACCCTATGGGTCTTCATATAAAAAACTGACTCACTTTTTTACCATGTGAACCAACAAGGATATATCCTAACAAATACCCCCATACATGATTTATTGTCAAGATGATAAAATTGGAAGTGACTGAAGTATATACACCCAAAAACTAAAAACTCAATGTGAAAACATTTTTAAAAAGTATTTCTACAAAAACACATTTCTGTTCATGTTATATCACGGGCTAAATAATATGAAAGAACTCCAGAGTTAATTTTCATTCCTCTTTCAACAACAACAACACAAAAACAAAAAAACCCAGAGTTCCATCCAGTATTATTACAAGGGACAAAGGAGAAGGCCAGATGGGAAGACAGTAGGAGCTGTGTGAGGAATGGAGGCTAGACCAGGAGTCAGGGCCTGGACCTACGGAGCCAGTGCTCACAGAGGCCCAAGGCAAACCTCTTTTGGAGGAGCTGGGCACCAATGGAGAAGGCAGGTGGAAGAGCATGGCACTCACTGCCCCAGGGAAAACACAGTGCTGGGCCATCGGGAGCCACACCAAAGACTTTATACTCTGTGAGGTCCTGGAAGACAGGAGCCTCATGACTCCTCTTCACACCATATCATGCCTGCTACCACCTTCCACAAATCAGGTAAGTTTTCACTGAATAAATTAATAAACAATAAGGATTTGGAAGTCTGAGTTTCATAAGATTTTAGGGAAAATATGTTATATTATTATGTGAATAAATATTAGTACCTGGCACATGAATATGGTCTGGGTTGGAGTTTAGGAAGATGTTCTAGGAAAAAAAACAATTATTAATTCACTGCTACTGAAAATAACCTTATCTAAAGGATAAAAAAATTATAGGGCCTAAATTTAATCCCTGTCTTGTCTTAGAATACTCAAAATAACTTACATTCTAAATATATTATAGCAAACATATAAATTCTTTGTGTATAAGTAAAATGTTACTGTTTTCCCTCTAATTCCTCAAATTAAAAACCAGATATAATGCATTTCCTTACTCTGAAAGCAGTATTTCTACCCATACGCTGGTTTTTAAACAACCAAAAGCTACTAAGCACATAATCCATGAATAGGCTTCAAAGTCAACCCATCAAACTTTTATATATGTATGTGCAATTTTCTGGAGAGAAGTATCCAGAATTTTCAGATTTGAAATAAAGTCATGACCCCCAAAAGAATAAAGACCATATTTTAAAGATAATTGAAATACTCAGGCTTGAAATAAAAACAAGTATGTGTGGTGGTAGACATCTTTAAATAAAATTATCTGGAAACTCAGTGATTTCAAAATATATACTAGTTCTTTTGAAATCAAGTTAAGGAATCAATATTTAAATATCTAATTGTCCACTAATAAATTTTGGAACTTTTGTCTTTAGTATATTTTTAGTAGTTATTTAAGCAAAAATTTGAAAAGATCTATATATAGTGGTTTAGAGGTTTAATTTTTCTAAGAAAATGTAAAAAAAATTAAATTTTTATAAGTCCCAACATTTTTATTAATTTTTATTTATAACTATGTAATTAAGTGGTAATTTTACAAACATTTAAAAAGGTAACAGAAAATCTACAAAATGAATGGAAACAAAGTAGTACATATCACGACTCTCCAGGACTGCTTAGAACTTCCTAACCTGTGTTCTGATTAGTGCGCCAACTCCACTGACCACTCTAGAACTGCCGTCTCCAACCACTGGCAGCAGTTCTCGGCCTGTCGGGGTGGGCTGCAGAGCTCCATCATAACCCCCAGTGGCCCACCCTCACCATCCATGGAAAAACTGTCTTCCATGAAACCTGGGTGGGGGGGTGCATAGCAGGAGGTGAGTGTGGAGTGAAGCTTCATCTGCATTCACAGCTGCTCCCACCACTCGCATCACCGCCTGTGCTCCGCCTCCCTGCTCCCTGTCACATCCATGGAAAAACTGTCTTCTGTGAAACCAGTCCCTAGTGCCAAAAAGGCTGGGGACCGCTGCTCTAGAAGAAGTCACTGGAAACGGCCAGAGCACCAGCCTGAGGGCAGGACAGGAAGAGCAATCCCACTTGGCAACTCGTTCTTATCATTTGGGGGAGGAGGAAACAAAAAAGAACACGAAGAAATAAAAAGGAAGAGGAATCAGGACCCCGTACTGGGTATCGAAGGGACCTTGCTGGCCTAATGGTGAAACAGACAATACACATTTTGGTGTCACCAAAACGAAATGCAAATGTTAACGATGTTACTACTTATCACTACAGGAAAACAGGAGATGGCAAAATAAAAGCACAAGAAAGTAATAACGGTGTAAAAATCCTATAAAGTTCTTATAGTAACCCCCCTTAGCATTTTCAATCCCTCTGAGAGGCACTGAGAAGCCCTCCTTCAACACAGACTGCTCAAGGATGATTGTAAGGTCTCTTCTGATGATGGATGAGGACTATAAGAGTCAGGTTGGGCAAAAAAAAAGGATTATCTTTCATCTGAAATATTTTGTGACAGGTCTCTGCCTGGAAGGACCCTTAGTATGTCAACTTATACTGGTATGACATAAGGAATCCCCTTGTGCTCTTAAAGGACCCTAAATCTGGACTTGCCCAGATGGGAACATTTCTGCACTTTGTACACCCTTCAATCTCTGTCAATTAAATCTAATGTTATCTTTGAAAGGTATTTTTTTCATAGTCATTTTTAGACACAATTTAGCTAAATGACCTTTCTGAAAAAAATAGCTAAATTAGAAAAGATGCTCAATTCTGAGCCCAAAAAAAGAGAATTAAGACAGGCTATGTTAAGAGAGAAAAACATAGTGACATTAATAGAAGAAAAAAAAAATTAGGAAATCAAAAGCTTGGAAAGGGGAATCTTTGATCTTCTAGAAGCCAGTACAGATGTTACAGCACCCTGGAGACAAGATACAAGATAATTACTTACTGATTGTCATGCATTTAGAGGTGTTCCCAATATGTCTGCACAGTCAAAGGGTAATACTTGAGTAAGTTTTCTTTACTAGAGGAAGCTGGCCTGCCTACTAGTGCACGAAGAAGGCCAGTGCCTGTGAAAAAGCCTACTCACCAAGCAGGAGACCAAGTGGTGGCTGGCATGACGGGAAAGCGAGGAGGAGGTCCAACAAACAGGCACAGGCGTCCCGTACAAAGCGGCTGTAGTCAGCTGCCCCTTGTTTGCTACACAGCTCCTGCAGCCTGCGTTTTTCTGCGCTGTTGCTGGTATAGTCCACAAGGGCTCGCAAAAATGCCTGCAAAAAGGAAGCCAACTTAAATTACCACGTGCTTAGTGGCTAGGGCTATTACAATATTCAGTTAGTAACTGCCTAGGAGTGTGCCCAATTACCCAAGAGAAAGCGAGAGAGTTTTACTAGGACTGTAGTCAGGAAAATACAACTTAATTTACCATTTGCTTTAACATTGCCTGTTAGGAAGATTCCACAATATAAATAACTAAAGCAAAAATAAAGTTCTGAACCTCAACTCTCAACAACTTAACCACATCCAAACTCCTGGACAAAACAGCAAAGTTGCTAATAAGTTTTAGTTTGAATACTACAGCTTACTCATTACAATAAGCTTATAGTATTATTACATTATAAACAATTACAAGCTTATTCATTACATAACATATTAATATATAGCTTACTGCTCAAGGGCTCAAAGCACTTCAGTAATTATTTGCACCAAATGTTATGTGAATGCTTATGAGTACTGCTACTTTTAATTCCATGGCACAAGACGGCTGTGTCCTGGACTCCCTCAACAGAGCAGATAAGATGGCTGCTCTCATGGGTCACAGGTTTCATTTAATGGCCTAGCCCAAGAATCCCTTCTTAAAATATCCAGAGACTAACACATTACATGTATTCCTCCAAATGCCAAATTCAGCACTGAACAAAAAATAAGCATTCAGGAAATGCTGCTGAGTGAATGCCCAAAAATCTGCATGGATCTTTGGCAAGATAAGATAATTTACAAATAACACTTTGTAAATTCAACAATCAATAAAATATACTTAATCAAAGGCTAAAACAGTGACAATTATAAATCCTTTAAAATAATTTTCACTTTAGTACTACAGAAACTTTGTGGTACCAAAATAGAAAATACTATACTGTTTTTGAAGACAAATATTATTACAATTTGAACTTCAAATACTTTTAAAGTAGCAATTCTACCACATTGTTTTACAGAAATACTTCAATTCAACTGCCCATGATTAAAACAAACTATAACATATCCATTAAAAATATCTTCCATGTTTCCATGTTGAAATATATACAGATTACTGATTTCTTTTTAAGTAAAAAAAGGTAAACTGTAGAATAGCACATATACTATAGGACTCCATTTTTTCTTAGTAAAACAAAATTCAAGTGTTAACTCTGAGAGTTTGATGATAAAAGACTTTGGTTTCCTGGGTTTCTTATTTCTGTAACCAGAGTTTTTCCAATGAGCTATTTACCAATGAACTACTATTTTAATAGTAGGAAAAAAATATACTTATGTCTATACCTAGCAAAAATTTGAAAGAGGGTAGAGATGAACCAAAATTGTGAATTTATTGAATTTGAATCAAGAAGTTCTCATCACAGTTACTTAATTCTAAATTACTCGAGTTTTATCTAAGGCTGAGCCTCTCTTTAAAGTAGTTTGCTTCCCCAAAACTAGAAATGTAATAAACACAACAGAATAAAAACTACACTGGGGAAAGGGTGGCCTAATTACAACACTCTCCATGCTCACTGACAACACAAGTTTGGCAAAGCACAACTTGGAAAATTTATCCATTAATATCCATTTGAGGGAACTGGTTAGAAGAAATCAGTTACAAGTATCTTTTAAAACAGTTCCTGGCATAACACTGACATCTAGTGGATTGTTCTATCTCAAAATTCATCTAAACATCAATATAACACTTATCAAAACCCTTCAATTTCTCCTGAACAAGTCTGTTTCAATAATAAATAATTATGTAGAATTCCACAAAGGAGATCTCAACAACTGCAGAAGCGGTGAGTGGTGGTGGTCAGGGGAGATCCCAAATTCTCATAAGCTTCCTGTCATCAATTACAGATAAAGTAGCAGTGTGCAGCTGGATAACACAAGGGCAACTAACACACTTTCATCACTGTTTAATGTGCTATATGAAGTTAAGGCCTAGCAAAAAGAAGACTAGGAAAAAGCCCTATTTTAAAAATCCCCTTTCAATAGAAAACATAAAAAATGTAAATGTAAACAACACAAAAATATTTGTCTATGACAATTATAAAGACAGCACACACCCTTGGGAACTAAATTTAAAACTCTGAAGATACTTTTTAAGCCTTCAAAGGGCAAATGCCAGATCTATTTAATAAATCCTAAACACAGCTAAGAATATTTTAAAATAGTTACCCCAAGAAGACAGATACCTTTTTAGGAAGTGCTCGTATTTCAAGACACCAGGTAAGAATGAATTGGAGAGAACATCCCTCAGGTACATGCTGGGGTAAGGCAGCTCCTTTTCAGGTAAAGACAGGAAAGAGGTTCATGACACAGAAAATAAAGAATAAAATGTTTTCCATTTCCCAAAACACGATTATTATAATACTTTACATTATAGTACTATCAAACTACAAAATGATTTGTGGCAATATTGATTTAGCCAAAAAATTTCCCCAAAATGAATACAGTAGAAAACCTCACCTTACAAAAATAAAAGAATACAAATTTAAGGCAGGCCAAAAAAAGGAAAATTATCTAAAATTAAGAAAAAAAAGCAAAAACAATGGCAGTACCCCACTGCCCCAGACGCCCTAGCAAGTCACAGCATCAGGGCTGTACCTTTCTTCTTTGTGTCCGCCTTAATGTTCAAGAGGACACAGTATTCTCTTTTATCTGCAAGCTGCAGTCTTTCGAGGAGGTTTTGTACCTCAGAATCACTGTTAGGACAGATCACATTGAAAGCATCTCCAGGCTGATAGGGAAAATCTGATTTCTAGAAAAGCACCAAAAGGAAATAAAAAAAATTATGAGTTAATATAATATAAAAATTATAAGTTAATTATTTCAGTTATAGGATAAGAAAAAATAGTTTTCATTATATGACCATTTTAACATATGAACTCAGAAAGAAAATAACTCTAATTGCAAAAAACTAACAAATAAGTCTAACAAAATGAACACACATTTTATTAGCAGTTGCTTTAAAAATGAAATTTGGTATTATCCAGGGTTTTGCCTTTTCTCACTGTGTATTCAGTTCTGAAAATTAGACCTTTCTTGTTTTCTACAGAGTAAGGTATTTTTAATAATCTATGTAAAAATCCCTCTTTTATAAAACATACATGTACACACACATAGACACATGAAAACATACAGTAGCCCAAAGAACCTAATTAAGGTCATCTGCATTGGTTTTCAGGTCCATTTTCCTTACTTAACTCTTTTCCTTTGAAGAGAAATAGAGGTAGGAAACGATACTTCATTATTTCCTTAATGAGTATAAAACATTACACTATCTGGCTGAATACTGGTTGTGAGCAACATGGGCTGCAAAAGAAGCCACTCCCCAAATCAAGTCTCATCACTTGGCCCATTTCCTCCACGGCCCCAGAGCAACAGAACATACAGACTAGGGTTCTAGAAAGGGACCTCTCACCATGACCCAAGTTCACATTTCTCACCTGCAACGAGATAGACTTGACTCAGCACTGGCCAACCCTTGCCTCTTCTCAACAAAAATGTAGAATATCAGAATAAATAATTTTGGGGTGTACATAGTATTAATACTTATGGAAGCAAAAACATCTAGTGCTGATGCTTGTTGTTCTTTCTTTTTTCTATTAGGAAGTTCAATTAAATCTACATACAGCCTTCATATGCCCTTACTTTTCTGAAAGTACAACCCACAACTTCTTGGGACTTTCATCAAAATAAAGGGTTGAGGTAATTGTCTTTGAAGTGGCACTCAGCACTAGTTTTAGGATGATCAATCAGTTTCTTAACCTGAGGTCATTGGATTCTGGCAAGGGGTGGAAGGGAGGAGGGACTCATGGATGGGGCTCACAGAGGTACATCTCAGAAAGGACACAACCACCCTAAAACTGCACGTAAATGTTTCTATATACAACTGACCCTTGACACTCACAGGCTCCATATCCTCAGATTCAACCAACCCTGGATGGGAAATATTAAAAAATAATACAAATTTTAAAATATAGTATAATAACTATTTATATTCTATTAAGTGGTATAAGTAATCTAGTAATTTAAAGTATATAGGCGGATGTGTGTAGGTTGTATGCAAACATTACGCCATCTTACATAAGAGATTTGAGCCTCCAAGGGTTTTGGTCTCTGAAGAGGGTTCTAGAACCAATCTCCTGAGGATACCAAAAGATGACTGTAATCATTTTTCTGGAGAATCCATAGTCATTGCAGATTCTCAAGAGAATGAGAACTGCTGCTCTGAGGAATTAACCTTTCCATGCCAGTCCAGTCTGAGCTCTATTTTTAACTAGCTGGCTGACCTTGGTGAAGCTTCCTTTCCTGGGCCTCTTCTTTTATGTAAAATGCTGCTCTGATTCCATTATTCTTTCAAGGCTTAATGAGTAGGGCAGCAACTCTATCCTCTCAGGCTGAATCACCTCCAGTCACTCCTCCTCTTAGCCCTTCCCTGAGTGGAAAGAAAATAGGTGTGAGGAGGAAAGAAAAAAATGATGGGTCAGCAGCGTAATGGCCAGATATACTGTCAGAGACCTCTCATTCTTCCTGAGCATATATAACTGAACACCACATGAGTCTCTGCACAACTCGACAATATAACTGTGCTGAAGAAATAAATTGTGCAACTTACTGAAATGTCCAATTCTATCAACAGAGTGGTTTTTATGGCATCATTCGTAGTAAGTTGAACTGCCTTTGAGATTGGAACTTGAAAAATTGGATCCACTGAAGTCACAGATGTTTGGCTTTTCTCCTTGAGAAACAAATGGAACAAAATATAACTAAATGAAATTTTCAATTATACCATTCCTTCATTTAGTGACTATGCAGATCTAAAGGGTCTTACAAACCTTCCTGGCTACTTTAGTATTCATTTCTAAGATAAATGAGTACACACAGATGGAGTTCACTTTTCAGAAGAGAAGCTCATCTCTATTTCAAACTCCCTGTCTGCTAGACACTAGAATTCCTGAAACATACATAGAAAATATCAAATACTAGCATTTTCCTTTAAATGTCTAGTAATCTAATAAACTATGTAAAAGGAAACACTATGTATGCAGGTATTTCAGGAAGGAGACTCTAAAGGAAATCACAGATGTTTAGGGTTGGAACATGTCTGGGTAAATGGTGGTAGGAATCCCCTGCTGCTGGGCAATGCTGCTCCTGTGGCTGCTGAGCACTTGAAACATGGCTAGTGTGACTAAGGAACTGAATTCTTAACTTTAACCAATGTTCGTCAATTTAAATTTAAGTAGCTACAAGTGGCTAGTGACTCCTGTACTGGACAAGTTTTGGAAAACTGCAAAGAAACCCACTTCTTTGTACTATCCCCTATTCCTTTTCTCACTTGATATTCCTAAGTTTAAAAATAGAAAAGAGCATTTTAGCAACTGCTAGTCAATTAATTTTGGATAGGTGGTTTTACAGGAAAGCCGGAAGAGGGGATTCAGACTGGGTGCCGGTGAATGACAATGTGCCGGGAAGACTGCCTTTAGCAAAGGCTGCTGCCAGCTCTGTCACCTGTGAGAATTACCTGGCATTCGCAAGCCAGGTCTTGCCACTGGCCATGCCTCCTTTCAAAGGCAGCCCACATCCAATGACTAATCAGTGACCACAAAGATCCAGCCCCTTTTCCCAACTCAGGGCAATGCTTAAAGAGCCACCAGCTCCAGAGAACCCTGTGGGATTGGCTGAGGCTTTGCTGAGACTGCCTCAGCATCTCACTGTGTCCCACTCTGCTTCCCTCAATACTGTTCCCTGAAGTGATGATCCCCAAAAGATGCCCTAAAAACATCTCATAATGTGATTTCTGGCACCCCAGCCTGGGAGAGTCAGTGCCCGAGCAGTCTGGGAAACATACTAAACCGGATATTTGGAACTGGATCACCTGCCTGCCTGACAATAACACCACAATAGGGAGACAGGAGAGACAGGCCCAGCACACAGCAGCAATGCAAGTGAGAGGAATGGGATGCCAGTGGAAGGGAATGCATTAGCCTGTGAGATGCATCAGGTGCTTGAGAACCATGTTTTGAGAAGACCAGTGGGATGGGTTGTTGGTGGTGGTGGTGGTGGGGTTACTGCTAAGCTTCACTCACACTTAAAGAGCAAAAAGCTGAAATGATTAACAAACAATTAAAAACTAAGTACAAAAGCCAGAGGACATCCTCAGGAGCTTAGAGAGAAGGAGTCATCTTCAGCCCCTGACCCCGACCCCGAAGGTGGAGAAAGCCAAGGACTGATGGTGACTGGGAAAGAATGTACTCCTGACAGCTAGGAGAAATATCCTGAATCCCCATTCCGGTTCCCTTGAACCTTCTCACCCTGCAGACACTTACAGCAAGAATTCCTTCTTGATTAAGATAATACAGGGACCTCTGCCCATAAGACATGCCTGTACCCCAACTCCTGCGCCCCCATCCCTCTCCTGGCTGCCGGGCCAGTGACTAGGATGAAGTCACAACATACCTGGCCACAAAGTGCTAGGCCAGTTAAGGCAGGCAAAGGACTAATCCCCCAAAAAGTACAGGAAAGATCAATATGTACTAGCAGGAGCCAAGAGAGTATGCATACAACAAAACACTGAGGTTGTGGAGCGAGGAAGACAGCACATAAATAAATAGGCAACTGCTGACAAAGACGCTGGGTCAATCCTCACAATGAAAATAAATCAAGCAGCCATGACCAGGAAGCTGCAGGCAGCTGCTCCAATAAAAACTCAAGATCCCTTGCCCAGTTTAAAATAGTTACCCCAAGATGACAGATACCTTTTTAGGAAGTGCTCGTATTTCAAGACACCAGGTAAGAATGAATTGGAGAGAACATCCCTCAGGTACATGCTGGGGTAAGGCAGCTCCTTTTCAGGTAAAGACAGGAAAGAGGTTCATGACAAGAAAATAAAGAATAAAATGTTTTCCATTTCCCAAAACACGATTATTGTAATACTTTACATTATAGTACTATCAAACTACAAAATGATTTGTGGCAATATTGATTTAGCCAAAAAATTTCCCCAAAATGAATATAGTAGAAAACCTCACCTTACAAAAATAAAAGAATACAAATTCAAGGTAGGCCAAAAAAGGGAAAATTATCTAAAATTAAGAATAAAAAGCAAAAACAATGGCAGTACCCCACTGCCCCAGACACCCTAGCAAGTCACAGCATCAGGGCTGTACCTTTCTTCTTTGTGTCCGCCTTAATGTTCAAGAGGACACAGTATTCTCTTTTATCTGCAAGCTGCAGTCTTTCGAGGAGGTTTTGTACCTCAGAATCACTGTTAGGACAGATCACATTGAAGGCATCTCCAGGCTGATAGGGAAAATCTGTTTTCTAGAAAAGCACCAAAAGGAAATAAAAAAAATTATGAGTTAAGGAGTTTCAGTTATAGGATAAGAAAAAATAGTTTTCATTATACGACCATTTTAACATATGAACTCAGAAAGAAAAAAACTCTAATTGCAAAAAACTAACAAATAAGTCTAACAAAATGAACACACATTTTATTAGCAGTTACTTTAAAAAAGAAATTTGGTATTATCCAGGGTTTTGCCTTTTATCACTGTGTATTCAGTTCTGAAAATTAGACCTTTCTTGTTTTCTACAGAGTAAGGTATTTTTAATAATCTATGTAAAAATCCCTCTTTTATAAAACATACATGTACACACACATAGACACATGAAAACATACAGTAGCCCAAAGAACCTAATTAAGGTCATCTGCATTGGTTTTCAGGTCCATTTTCCTTACTTTACTCTTCTCCTTTGAAGAGAAATAGAGGTAGGAAACGATACTTCATTATTTCCTTAATGAGTATAAAACATTACACTATCTGGCTGAATACTGGTTGTGAGCAACATGGGCTGGAAAAGAAGCCACTCCCCAAATCAAGTCTCATCACTTGGCCCATTTCCTCCACAGCCCCAGAGCAACAGAACATACAGACTAGGGTTCTAGAAAGGGACCTCTCACCATGACACAAGTTCACATTTCTCACCTGCAACGAGATAGACTTGACTCAGCACTGGCCAACCCTTGCCTCTTCACAACAAAAATGTAGAATATCAGAATAAATAATTTTGGGGTGTACATAGTATTAATACTTATGGAAGCAAAAACATCTAGTGCTGATGCTTGTTATTCTTTCTTTTTTCTATTAGGAAGTTCAATTAAATCTACATACAGCCTTCATATGCCCTTACTTTTCTGAAAGTACAACCCACAACTTCTTGGGACTTTCATTAAAATAAAGGGTTGAGGTAATTGTCTTTGAAGTGGCACTCAGCACTAGTTTTAGGATGATCAATCAGTTTCTTAACCTGAGGTCAATGGATTCTGGCAAGGGGTGGAAGGGAGGAGGGGCTTATGGATGGGGCTCACAGAGGTACATCTCAGAAAGGACACAACCACCCTAAAACTGCACGTAAATGTTTCTATATACAACTGACCCTTGACACTCACAGGCTCCATATCCTCAGATTCAACCAACCCTGGATGGGAAATATTAAAAAATAATACAAATTTTAAAATATAGTATAATAACTATTTACATTGTATTAAGTGGTATAAGTAATCTAGTAATTTAAAGCATATAGGCGGATGTGTGTAGGTTGTATGCAAACATTACGCCATCTTACATAAGAGATTTGAGCCTCCAAGGGTTTTGGTCTCTGAAGAGGGTTCTAGAACCAATCTCCTGAGGATACTAAAAGATGACTGTAATCATTTTTCTGGAGAATCCACAGTCATTGCAGATTCTCAAGAGAATGAGAACCGCTGCTCTGAGGAATTAACCTTTCCATGCCAGTCCAGTCTGAGCTCTATTTCTAACTAGCTGGCTAACCTTGGTGAAGCTTCCTTTCCTGGGCCTCTTCTTTTATGTAAAATGTTGCTCTGATTCATTATTCTTTCAAGGTTTAATGAGTAAGGCAGCAACTCTATCCTCTCAGGCTGAATCACCTCCAGTCACTCCTCCTCTTAGCCCTTCCCTGAGTGGAAAGAAAATAGGTGTGAGGAGGAAAGAAAAAATGATGGGTCAGCAGCGTAATGGCCAGATATACTGTCAGAGACCTCTCATTCTTCCTGAGCATATATAACTGAACACCACATGAGTCTCTGCACAACTCGACAATATAACTGTGCTGAAGAAATAAATTGTGCAACTTACTGAAATGTCCAATTCTATCAACAGAGTGGTTTTTATGGCATCATTCGTAGTAAGTTGAACTGCCTTTGAGATTGGAACTTGAAAAATTGGATCCACTGAAGTCACAGATGTTTGGCTTTTCTCCTTGAGAAACAAATGGAACAAAATATAACTAAATGAAATTTTCAATTATACCATTCCTTCATTTAGTGACTATGCAGATCTATAGGGTCTTACAAACCTTCCTGGCTACTTTAGTATTCATTTCTAAGGTAAATGAGTACACACAGATGGAGTTCACTTTTCAGAAGAGAAGCTCATCTCTATTTCAAACTCCCTGTCTGCTAGACACTAGAATTCCTGAAACATACATAGAAAATATCAAATACTAGCATTTTCCTTTAAATGTCTAGTAATCTCCCTAATAAACTATGTAATAGGAAACAGTATGTATGCAGGTATTTCAGGAAGGAGACTCTAAAGGAAATCACAGATGTTTAGGGTTGGAACATGTCTGGGTAAATGGTGGTAGGAATCCCCTGCTGTTGGGAATGCTGCTCCTGTGGCTGCTGAGCATTTGAAACATGGCTAGTGTAACTAAGGAACTGAATTCTTAATTTTAACCAATGTTCGTCAATTTAAATTTAAGTAGCTACAAGTGGCTAGTGACTCCTATACTGGACAAGTTTTGGAAAACTGCAAAGAAACCCACTTCTTTGTACTATCCCCTACTCCTTTTCTCACTTGATATTCCTAAGTTTAAAAATAGAAAAGAGCATTTTAGCAATTGCTAGTCAATTAATTTTGGATAGGTGGTTTTACAGGAAAGCCAGAAGAGGGGATTCAGACTGGGTGCCGGTGAATGATAATGTGCCGGGAAGACTGCCTTTAGCAAAGGCTGCTGCCAGCTCTGTCACCTGTGAGAATGGCCTGGCATTCGCAAGCCAGGTCTTGCCACTGGCCATGCCTCCTTTCAAAGGCAGCCCACATCCAATGACTAATCAGTGACCACAAAGATCCAGCCCCTTTTCTCAACTCAGGGCAATGCTTAAAGAGCCACCAGCTCCAGAGAACCCTGTGGGATTGTCTGAGGCTTTGCTGAGACTGCCTCAGCATCTCACTGTGTCCCATTCTGCTTCGCTCAATACTGTTCCCTGAGGTGATGATCCCCTAAAGATGCCCTAAAAACATCTCATATTGTGATTTCTGGCACCCCAGCCTGGGAGAGTCAGTGCCCGAGCAGTCTGGGAAACATACTAAACCAGATATTTGGAACTGGATCACCTGCCTGCCTGACAATAACACCACAATAGGGAGACAGGAGAGACAGGCCCAGCACACAGCAGCAATGCAAGTGAGAGGAATGGGATGCCAGTGGAAGGGAATGCATTAGCCTGTGAGATGCATCAGGTGCTTGAGAACCATGTTTTGAGAAGACCAGTGGGATGGGTTGTTGTTGTTGGTGGTGGTGGTGTTACTGCTAAGCTTCACTCACACTTAAAGAGCAAAAAGCTGAAATGATTAACAAACAATTAAAAACTAAGTACAAAAGCCAGAGGACATCCTCAGGAGCTTAGAGAGAAGGAGTCATCTTCAGCCCCTGACCCCGAAGGCGGAGAAAGCCAAGGACTGATGGTGACTGGGAAAGAATGTACTCCTGACAGCTAGGAGAAATATCCTGAATCCCCATTCCGATTCCCTTGAACCTTCTCAACCTGCAGACATTGACAGCAAGAATTCCTTCTTGATTAAGATAATACAGGGACCTCTGCCCATAAGACATGCCCGTACCCCAACTCCTGCGCCCCCATCCCTCTCCTGGCTGCCGGGCCAGTGACTAGGATGAAGTCACAACATACCTGGCCTCAAAGTGCTAGGCCAGTTAAGGCAGGCAAAGGACTAATCCCCCAAAAAGTACAGGAAAGATCAATATGCACTAGCAGGAGCCAAGAGAGTATGCATACAACAAAACACTGAGGTTGTGGAGCGAGGAAGACAGCACATAAATAAATAGGCAACTGCTGACAAAGACGCTGGGTCAATCCTCACAATGAAAATAAATCAAGCAGCCATGACCAGGAAGCTGCAGGCAGCTGCTCCAATAAAAACTCAAGATCCCTTGCCCAGTTCACAGACCTGGAACCCACTGACTTCAGGAGAAAGCAGTCCCTAGGAGGACTCTGTACCACTACAGACTGCACATTGTAACGGGTCCTGAAGTCCTTCTCCTGCACTGCACTGAGGGAATGCCCGAACGATTCAAGGTCTAAGAGAGTCCAAAGTGGTGCTGTTATCCAGGGACCTCAGGTGTCGGCATAGCCCTCCTACCAGTGGAAGGCATCTGTGGCCAGACAGTAAATGGAGTCTTGGTCCGGATCCAGCTCAGTGGGTCCAGCGGGTCCCAGGACCTTCAGTGGTCACTCAGTAGCTGGCACTACCCCACACTGGATTACTGGCCTGTGGGGTAAAATCTATCATAGTGTGGAAGGCCAAGACAAAACCTCTGGTTTTGACACCACCCTTCTCCCTGAGCACCACGATAGAAAATGAAAACCAATATACCATCCTGGGAAGAAGAGCAGAAGTCAAAACATTTTTAAAAAGCTAAAGGACAAAGGAGGTGGTCTCTGTCTCCATTTAATCTATAATTTGGCTTCTGCAAAAACCAGACAGATCCTGGGGGATGACATGAACTACCACAAACTCAAACAACAGATCCAACTTGGCCTTAGGTATGCTGTATGTGGACAATGATTCAGCCAAAGTGCTGTTTCCCATCACCATCACCAAGAGGACCAGATACAGTTCACTTTCATTTGGAACAGAAAATGTACACATTTACAATTTTGCCCCAGGGCCATGACAAGGGTCCTGCCTGCAGTTATAAGACAGTCTGAATAAATGTGTCCTGCAAATATCACACTCACCCACTCTATCAGTGACACTGTGCTACCAGACTGAATGAGCAATGAGTGGCCAGAACAGTGGAGTCTTTGGTAAGACCCATGCCCTATCCACTATCCAGATAAGGGCGTGAAGGGTCAGCACGGTTTTTAGGGTTCCAACAGTCTGGTGTATGTCAGGACATTCTCTCCCAAGTAGAGTCCACACTAGTACATCTTGTATCTCACTTCCTCTAGAGAGAAGGAGAACACCTGATAGGTCTCTTCAGGATCTGAGGGCAGTACATTCCACACCTGGGAGGACTACTTCAATCCAAATACCAGGTGACACAAAAGGCTGCCAGCTTTGTGTGGGGCCCAGGGCAGAAGGCTGTATAGCAGTTCCGAATGATGGTGCTCAGAAGAGGTCCTGCTGCTGCAGCACACAGTCCAGGCAACCCTCTGGTACTAGAGGAAACACTTTTAGATGGGGGAAAGATACCATATGGAATAAGACTGACTGAGGCCTTTGATGAGATTACATTGCAGCAGCTCATCATCTTATCACTGTGCCACATCCTGCTCCCATCCTCTTCACACCCCAAAGCTATGGTCCCAAGAGCATACCCTACAAAACAATCCTCTTCCAATCCTTTACTGTTTCAGTATATCCTTTCAGATTTATATTGTTACCATTAAATAATTCAGGTCTTTTATGTATATTACCAATTAACTCACGCCTATTAATGACACTTGCTATAAAAGACACTCTTAACAGATCCTCCTAAACTAAGCAACTTCTCAAATTAACCAGTCCTCTCTATCCCCTCTGCCACATACTGATCCTGTAGCTCACAGATGGGGGTGCTACTCCCTAGTATGTCTGAGCATATGTGTATTCCCAAACCTGATGAAATGTCCTTTTTTTAATCCATAAAAACATACATATCCGAATGCTTTATAAATAAGATGCGGGGAAAAAAAAAAGACAAACTGCTATCATAGCTGGTGCTTGCAAATAGAGCTAATATACTAGAAAGATGTTGCATTCAAATTGTTTCTGAAATGTCTATGTCTGACTTTACTAAGAAAAAGAAAACAAGAAACTAGAAATGGTGATAGCTGCATTAAGGATGTGGTTTATGTAAGAACGTTCATATGGAACTCCAAACAGCCACTCTCCAAAAAGAGAGCTTGGCCCTGCATTAATAGATTGGCTGCCCTGGAAATTTATTTTAAGCATGTGGGAAAAAATTTGAAGGTACCATATACTGGCAGAAGTGGGGCAGAATTAGCTATTACTCAACTTGGTACTCAAAAATTTACACAGCCCCTTTAAAGTCTTTTGTTTATTGATGGAAAAAATACTCTTGGCAAAAACAATGACAATACAGACAAAAACAGGTCTGTAAGATATTAGCTACAAAAAGAATGGTCACCAATTGAAAAATCCAGGATATCAAAAATTAACATTAGAAAAAAGATTTTATTGTTTATAGTTTCCTCACTGCCCACACAACTGACCTTTGCTTGACTCACATCTAAAATGAGAAACCAAGCACTTAGTTCTCCAAAATAAGGAGAAACTAAGCTCTTAACCATTTACTTCTTCAAAGACAGAAGCGATGTGATAATATAAGCATGTCTATAACACATGAGTGGGCAAAATTTTTCTGGAAGGAGCCAAATGCATGACTTCACATGTCTCTGTGGCAACCACTCACCCTGCCACTGTGGCTCAAAAGCAATCACAGACACTACCTGAATGAGCAGGTGTAGCTGTGTTCCAACAAAATTTACATACATTGATAGGCCACATTTGGCCAGTAAGCCATAGTTTTTTTAAACTCTCCTCTAATATCATATGATAATAATAAAAAATAAACCAAAGCAGTCATCCATGGTTAAATAACATTCATAACATAAAGCATAAAGTAAAACTGCTCACCTGGCAGAGAGACTCCTGGAGATGCACCTGCAAGTAATCCGGGGGCAAAGCAGGAACATTAAGAGAGGCTTGTGAGAGTGGGGGTACTGAACGGATAAGCGAGGCTTCAAAATCTTCAATTAAAGCACTTGATTGACCACTGTTCACTGTATTTTGTTGCAAAACCTCAGAATCCTTTCTTCCTGAATCATCTACTCTCAGAAGCTCGACTTGTGATTCAAGGTGTAGTAACTCTGGTTTCATTTGGTCTGTCCTCAGGGAGATATGGGATGCCCTTGGGAGCACTCTACTTATCTCCTCTTGTCCTCTATTTG